GTGTTTTTGAACTTGTGTGTAGCTTTGTGTGTGTTGCATGAAGTTCCTACTTTGGGGACTGTATTTTCACATTTCTAAAAAAAAAACAACTGTTTTTTAATGATTTATAGGAGGGAAAAAAATCTGCTGTTCAGTTTAGAAATAATGCAGTTCTCAAGAGGTGACGCAATTTTGAAATCATTTGACATTTAAGTGATATTGCACAGGGGTGTACTCACTCAGCTGCACACTGCAAATGCTGAAAATACAATTTCCCCCCCATTTCTATTACATGACTACATTTTTACTAGCATATAATAACATGTGTTGCCTTTTCTCCTTGTAGACACTTTTTTTCCCAACTCTGGCTGGAGTTAGCAGGATGTTTGGACCCTGCTTTGTGCTGCAGAGTGAATTCGGAAAGATGAGGTGCCTCCCTGACGGTGTTGCGTGATTGATGAGGATCTAAAACTTTAAAGTGAAAAAAAAAAGCTCTGCCAAGTTCTGCCTTATTTCACAGTGCATTACTGTACACCGCCTCACCAGGACTCAAACAGGGAAGTCGAGAGAAAAAAGTTATTTTCATATCATTTTAGGCTTATTAAAAAACAGAAATTACATAAAAACCTGCAAAAATAGCTTCATAAATCAAACGCTGAGTCTTTATCAGGAAAAAAAATCCCAAAACATCAGAGCATTTTGCACAATTTTCATGTCTCTCGCTGCACCCAGAGGCGTGTAAATAAATGCATCCAATCAAATGTGATTAGAAGCAGCCTCTCCGGCCGTGATCAGCGCCTTATCGTGGCGAGGCGGTTTGTCTCCACAACCCCTGCGGCTATGTTGACTGTTGCCTTGTACCCTCACGCCGAACAGGAGTAAGGACCAGATAAAGCTCGATCCCATAGTTCTCCAGGTTGTGAGCTGATAACCCTCTCCCGTAAAACCACATTATTACAGAAAACAGCGGAGAAAAAAAAAAAGGGCCTTTTGCGCCACGAGGCACGGAGCAGATAGGCAACGGCTCCTGTGATAAAATACAGAATTCATTAGCGGGTGTTGTGGCAGCTAATGCAGTGATATCACCGCTCAGAAGTGTGCGTTTGCATATCTTCCGGCAAATACCTTGTTTATATCGGCAAAGGAGTGTTGCTGCGAGCTTGTTAATTTCGACATGAGTGAGGAAGGTGAAGGTGAACTCTCGCTACGTTCAGATCTCTGAAACTTAAACCTACGGACGCGCAAAGTGACGAGTTCATTTGAACCTCCAGGGTTCCCATTAATTTTCACGCGTGCAGTGATTGAGACGGATTCAGACGTTGAAGCTACTTTGAGGCTTCAACGTAGGAAGCATGAACCTAGAACATGGCTCCGATAAGATGGAAGTTACACTTTGCAGATTTTTTGCTCAGTTCAGGTCAAAAGTTTGCAAAGTGTCCGACCCTCTTCTGTTTTCAATCTGTTGATGGTTTGAACTGTATTTCAACCAACCTCTAGAAGTTTAAGAGCTCAGCGCGACCTAGGCAAGGCAAGTGTATTTATAGCATCTTTCAGCAGGAGTTAAATTGGGATTTGTGAGGAGGGAGAGTCCTTGTCCGGCGAGGTCGGGGCGCACAGACACTAACAAACAGGGATAATTCTTCTTCAGTAGAAAGTAGCTCCACTCAAAACTCTGTTCTGTATCGAAACAACTGCTCTGTTCCCGGGAACTCGATTCAGATGTTATCAGCTCAACAGATCGCCGTTATCACACATCATTCCCATACGTCTGGGCCAGTAATGACCTCCTCCACCCTCTAGTCAGCTCAGTAGGTGCACTATCATCATCCATCACTGATAAACAGAAAGTAACGCTGATAACGTCGGTGGCTTCTTGCAGTCTCATCGTGAAGAAG